TTTTTTGCTTGTCTCAGGTCTTTTGCAGCAGATTCTTTTCCATGAGGCATCTTTTTATCTTATCCGATTGCCAGACGGCGGCTAGTAGTGAGTTTTGCAAAGTGTTACGATAATCATAGACATAGAGGTGGACATGAACTAAGTTCCAGGAAGAGCACAGTGAGGGCCGTGTTCCACTTTTGATACGGTTTCACTTGTTTGCGTTTGATCGCTTTTCCCGCTAAGAATCTACTTTGATTCAACACTGGTGGGGTCAAAGAAAAAAATTAGACAATACAAATTACAAGAAAAAGCATCAAGGATGAGATGAACAATTGGAGCCCCAAAACGGAAACTACATTCAGTACCCGTTTCGGGCAAGAAACGCAACCCCTGCGATGCACATGATGCACCCCAATCCCCGGGCATAGCATCGCGCGGGGTGAAAAGCACAAAAACTGCACTCATTCGGGACCTTTCTATCCGTGGGCTTTAATATGCTCCCCCGCTGTCCTCTATATACATGTATTCAGATTAGGAGCGGTTGGGCTCAAAGACCCTAAATGGTTGCGAAATTCAGCCGCTTCGGAGCTCCATGTTCTTCAACTGTTCCTTGTTTTTCTTTTTCCTGGTCCAACTTTCTGTGGCTCGAGTGCCCTGGTCCAAGACTTGCAGGACAGCCTGGACGGTTTGGCGAGTCTTTGGAGTGTTTGACATTGGTTGGACGAGTCTTTGGTGATATTCGACTTTACCCTGGAATTTCTCCAACAATAAGGCTATGAGATCTATGAGGGTTCTTTGAGCAACATCTCTTGCAGCACCCTCCACAAGGTTGGCATCATGTGGCTTTGTCAATGGGGAATCACCAGAACATTCACTGTTCAACGGCGAACACGCACTGCGTCGGGGTGGCTCCCTGTCAGCGGTTGAAGATGCATGCGTCGCTTGGTGTCTTCGGCAGGGCTTGGTAGCATCAGCAGCCACTGGGAAGAAAACCACGTGCCACCCAGGTCCCAAGAGTTGGCACAGAGGCAGGAGATTGAAGAGCGGCTTCAAAGCATGCGGGAGAAGATGGAGGCCATCAGGCAAGTCCGACTCCATGCGCAGGTTCTCATGAGCGATGCCATGTGGGTGCCTGTGTTGGAACTTCTCATGGCACGGAAATCATGTGCACCGCACGTCGCACGTTGCAATATCTCTGGGGTATGCAGTCAACAGTGCGACCTAACACACTTTTGCATGGATTGATGTCGGGGTTGCTTGCATCGTGACATGTTATGACTCAAGACCACATCAATAATTTGAAAGCAATACGGAAGCCAACGGTTGAAATTTGATAGGGAATTTTGAGAGAAGAACTGAAGGACTATAAAAGACCAGTGGTACAAATCAATTTTGTTTTCTACCTCCTTGCAGCTAACATCACACCACGCCGCTAGTGGACCCCGATCGTGACCCTTTTCCGCCCGGCGATCCGGCGAGCCGCTTCTCACGCCCGGTGGCTGGGGATGTTCATAGGTATTTTCTCGGAGACGTCGCGTTCACCCCAAATCAGTGACATGTTGGTTCGCACGAAGAACATCTCTGTGCTCGTGAGACACTCGCAGGAGCAAGAGTCCAGATCGCCTCCCAATTGCAGAGCCCCACGCAGGCGTGTCTTGGATGAACTCAGAATCCCGGAGGAAGTATTCTCCCAACAACTTAAATGGTATGATCTACCAGGCAATCCAAAGCAGTAAAGGCAACATAAGACTATAGAATATACAATCCTGGAAAGCATAATACCATTCTTTTGGTCAAGCGGCCTTGACCCTTTTTGGTGTTCAATGGTTTTCATATAGCTGTGTATTAATATATATATATATGGAGCCACTTGTTTCAGAGTTGCTGCGGCTTTTTGTGTTGTTTTGTGTTTTTCAAACACATCTTGCTACAATACGGTTCGTTTTGCTGCAGGTAGGCCTGCCATACTCTTTTGATTTGGCTGCTTTTTTGGGTCACTACGGGTAAAATCAGTACTTGAACAAAATAAACAGAACATTACGGCTTTTTCCAAATAATGACCAAACAATTTTGGGCATTTGGCTTTCCAGGATACTATACCATGGATCTTGATAATCTTCATTGGACAGAAATGTTAGTCCACTTCATTCTAGAGGCGACCTACAAATCTTGAAGCTGGCAAATCACTGCTTTGCAGTGTTACATATAGAATAGAAGAGAATAGGTATTGATCTATCTACTGTATGTATACATGGCACTCTAGATCTGGCTGTATGACCACCGGCCCCAGCACCTGGTGACCGCCTCCGAGGACCTTGAGGGCACGGTGCTTTGGTGCGACAGCGATCCAACAGTGCTACAAAGCTGCGGCGTCTTGCGGGGCTCCGGACTAAACGTGGAACACTTCCAAGAGCCGGAGGCAGAGCGGCAGGGCGGCAGGGCGGCAGGGTCATGCGTCTGAGTCTGCAGGTGACGGAACTAGATGACCATGCGTCTGGCGTGCCCCGGGCGGCTTTTCAAAGACAGTGTACCGGTGGTGATTGTGATCAGTTCTGTGTTCTCCAGGTTGATGCAACAGCCAGTCTCCAAAGGCCTTTTTCTCCAAGGTGTCAGGCTTGATGACCCGGTCTCCCACTGGAACTCCCTTTACCAACACTGACCTTGATGGACCGCCCGCGTGGGGTACCACTTCACCACCGGCATCACTGGGGACCTCTTGGCCGGCTTCGCTCCGAGCACCACGGCGTCACCAGTCCATCGGGGAGTGACACAACCGGGGCCTCTCACCTGCGCAGACACCGATGAGGCTGCCTTGCAGCGATACCTGCGGTCTCCCCAGGAGGTCCTTTGTATTATGTCCTCGATGATGGAGGGCGATGGACGCAAGGAGCCGTTCGGACAGATCTTCGGAGGAAGAAAGACACCAGAATGTGTCTGGTCTCTTTTAATCAGACCTGACCTTTTGTTTATCAAACCTTATCAACCCTTCTCAAATCGTTGGATTTAAGTTTCTCAAACCTGTTGGGTTTGGTTGCGCAGGTCAGCTTGAGTCATTAGGACCAGCTGAGCAGAGATAATTATCTGTCAGAGCTTGTACTTTCCGCCAAAGACTAGATGAACATACATGAACCATCCCAAACATTCCCAAACAACCTTCAACGCTGCAGGGCTGCCCATCAACACTTACTCAACCCACGCATCCATCCAGGCCCCATCCTTTGTGCTCCCAGGAGCGTGGTGCGATGAACGGCTATGCACTCTTCGAAGCGCTGCAGCGTGCGGCGGCGGCGCGGCGGCGGCCCAAGCCGCTGTTGGCGATGATCAGTTGCTCTGCCGATGCGACGAAAGCGCAGGAAGCAGGTGGGGCGAAGAGTCGAAGAGTGCGGAGCCTGCAGAACTGGGTGGAAGACGTTGAGAGAAGCAGAGGGTAGATAATGATACTTGGGTTTGGGTGATGACCCAGTAGCATTGTGCCTGGCACTGAGCAGTTTTAAGGTCATGATGGCTATAGTGTGGGAAGGATATGGGCTGCTCGTGGCTATCGGCCAAGAGTTGGCCAAGTCTACCGGAGTTGTAAACCATGTGCGGTGGGACGAAGACACATCTACGTGACACGTTCTTTCCAGATCTATCCACTAAGGTGTTGCAGGTTGATGCACCCAGAAACCAGATTTTCCTGCCACAATTACATCAATTACGAAGAGAAGGGCGCTGGGATGAGTGGATGAAATCCTTACCCTTTTCATCCTCCACTGATCAACCTGCGAGCCGCATGCCCGCCACGGCGCAAAAGCCCCCCCCCCCGCCCCTCTCGCTGCAAACCGGAGCTGCAAGGCGCTGACCTTGTGGTTCTTGGAAACCGGATCAAAGCGCAAAATCTGGTGGTACCGCGGTCGCAGAGCAAGCACGCTTCATCACCATCGCATTGGGCTTGATCCGTTTCAGTTCGATGAGACAAGGTTTTTAGGGGACCGACGGGGATTGAAGAGTGGTGTGTTCCAGAGAAGAGATTTTCATTTGGCGCTGATGTTGGTGCCGTGTTCATGCTGATGTGACCATGGAGTTGGGATGCGGAAGGGATTGGCATGGCTTGCGAATGATTGGACCCACAGGTTGGTGTGACTGGTTGAGCCAGGTCATGGGTTGGCTCAGGTGACAAGGCTACGTCAATCGATGGGTCTTCAAGCAGGCTACGTGGGCGAGAGCTAGTGCCACTGGGCAGAAGCTGCAGTCAGCTGCAGAGGTGTTCACAGTAGGTTATAGAAGCTGCTAGGAAGTGCTGATTGAGAAAGTGAAGCACATGGAAGCATGGCATGGAGATTTGTCAGTGATAAGTTAGAGCACTTTCCAGACAAGCTGTTTTTTCAGTCTGGACGCCTGTGTGGACTCAAATTGAACATAGTGCGAAAGGTTCTCAGCTTCAGCCACTTCATGAGGTTTCTGAAGTAGCACAGTTGCTGAGACCTGGCACTGAGGTACATAGGTTCTGATGGCACATGTGTCATCCAAGAGCAAACTGCCGAAATCCATCGAAATCAGACGTCGACTGGATGGATCCCATCTCATGGAAGCTGCCAGAAACGCACAAAAACACGATAAAGGTAAAGCAACAACGACTTCCTAACTCTTCCTAGACTTTTGGTGTTGTTTGTGGATTCCGCTCCTTTTTTATATCAATTAACTGTGTTGGGACACATGCCTCACTCATGACCCTGGAGAGGAAAATAGGATCAGGCGTAACTTAACTGCATAGGATTTGTTACTGTAATATTTGTTATGTGGATTTTTTTTCAAAAGTGAACGTGGCACCTGTTTTCTCCAGGCCCTTGTATCGTGTCTACAATGTGAGACATGAAACTGACACATTGATTGACAATGGATATTGGCTTGGGGGAATCAACGTTTCCTACTGGTAAATGCATGAGTATCCAATTGTCAGGATTTGTTTAATCTTTGGTTCCCAAACTGCATGTTTATAAGTGCTGCCTAGATCTGCGGTAGATCCTTCTAGTATGGGATGGACCTTGAGACCATCCCTTCCCCAGTAACAGTCAATAAAAGGTTTCTTTAT